CTCTCCACATTACTATCCCAGCCTTCTACATGCCCACAGCCATTTACAGGGCCAAAGCTTCTGATAGGAGGTTCAGAGATACTGGTATGAAGGTGTTGTGGTTTGAGGCTTCGGGAGGGGACAGGTGATCTTCTAGGACCTGGGAGAGTCCCATGGGAAAGCCATTTATTCCCTCCCCTTCCTCTCCACACTCTTTAAAAGAGGCAGGAAGTGGGTGCTTCGCCCCCCAAGTCCTGCTGCTCTGGGTCCTGGTGTGCCTCATTCCATGCGGTCCGGAACCATCTGAGATCTGGGGTTTGTATATCTTGTTTACTTTGTATTCCTCCCACCTTTGTATATATTTTTTACCTCCTTTTTTTTTGTTTTCTGTTCCCTGTTAAACTATATACTTTATTTTTATTTAACTTCCAATCGGTTCAAAGCCTCTCTCTCTCTCTCTCTCTCTCACTGGGGGAGCACACAGTTCTGTTCTGTGTGGGTCCTGCCCTGAAGCCCTTTTTACACGGAACGAGAACAGAAAGGCCTTGGGGAAATAAGAAAGGTACCCGTGTTTCCTGTGCAGGCTGAGCAGTACAAAAAAGGGAATGTGGTTTCCTGTCCCCACCCAAGTCAACAATGATGAATGTTTCCGGCATCCCAGTGTATGAAGTACCTGCAACTGCAAAGGAGTTGCTCAGAAGAGGCTGCAAATCTGCCTGGAATTGCAAGGAAGTCTGAGTCTTCAGCACTGGAAGGACAAGGCATTTCTCTGCTGACTTGATAAAAGGAAGGTCTGAGCCCTTCTCAGCCCCACAGACTTTCTTACTTCACAGTGCACCATACAAATTCCTTCGATGAAGCCTGCAGTGCTCCTGTGGATGCTGGTCATCACCTTTGCTGCAGCCCTTAAAGGTGAGAGCCCCTCCTTTCATGGGAAGAGGACATGCATATGTTTTGTTTTGTTTTGTTTTGTTTTGTTTTTGTGTTTCCATCAGCCTAGGTCCTGTATCAATCCCAAAATACTTTGCCCTTTCCTGCCCTCCCATAGTATATGTGAAGGTTAGAGCACCAATAGAAGGATGGAGATCTGTCATAGTCCTGCACTGCCCCACCAACAGGCACAAAAGAGAGTTTCACCATCCTCAGAGCTGGCTCTTCCTGATCTAGGCAGATCTGAGTGCTGTTCTCCCAATTCTATCTTGACCCCTGTCTGCAGATGACTGGAGCATTGCTCAGCACTGCACTGTCTTGCTGTGGGTGGGAATGAGGGGAGCCAGGCAGGCTCTGGTCTTAGTTCTGGTTGGAGAAGAAGGAGAAGGGGTAGAATGATCCTGATGCTGTCATGTCTCCTCTTGGTAACAGCTGCAGGAGGTAGGACAAGTACCAAGACAGATCTCAGGAACACAGGGCAATTTCTGTGCCCAGGTATTTCCATGCCCCATTGTAATGCCTATTACATTCATGTGGTGACTTAGTACAGCTTTCAGGAGCCAGGCAGGGACCAGACCTGGGTCACTCTGGGATTACCAGGTCCAAGGAGCACTTTACTCCCTACGTTTTCCACCCCAGAGCACTGATCTCCCGTACCAAGGGCCAGCATGAAGCACCACAGGAAAGAGGATGGAAAGAGAGCTAGACACTTCTGTGAATGCAAGAAGAAGAAGAGGAAGGGTACTGGTGGGGAAGAGGGAGTGAGGTAGGGATTTCCTCTCTTTCTGTTGAGCCAAGGCTGGAAGAGCCTAGCAGGGCCCAATGGGATCCCAGCTCTGACTTGTACATGTATAGGATTGCGGGGTACACTTGGACTGTGGTCCCACAAAGAGTGCAGATGAGCACCAAAGATGAGCTCAGCATGCCTATCTCACCTCTACCCATGCAGCTTCTGAGACTGGCTTGTCCCCTCAGCTGGTGTTCCCAGGGCTGCTGGGAGTGTGTGATGGGGCCAGAAGGGTCACAGGTTCCAACTGCCCAATCCGAGTCTTGCCTCTTCCTTCTGGGAGTCAGGAGTTGGGCTCTGCTCCTTTGTCCTTTCGGGGTTTAGCTTTTCTTCTACCTGCCCCAAAACAGAAGGGAAGAAGGCTCCTGACTTTGTCCTGCACAGCACTTCTGGGAAGGTGAGAAACATGAGGGAAGAGGAGAGAGACTGGGACTGAGTAGGCTTAGCCTGCCTCTGAACATCTTGGTCCACTCCTGCCCTACTCTAAATGCCACTACAAAAGATTAATCTTTGCACGGAAATCATCTTCCCTTTTCAGGTGGAGTGGGATGCTGGTGCCGTGCAGATGAGGGAAGTTTTCAGAGTTTTTTCTGACCATGGAGTAAGGGGAAGACATTCCTAGACAAAGCCAATAACAGTCCCAAAGAGCTGTGCAGAGTCTCACTCTGAGCAGCCTTGGGAGACCATTCCCAGGGGAGGTTTAAGTGCCTCGTGCTTCTTGTCCCTCTGGGGCTCATGTGCAGTTAACAAAACAGTTTCCTATGTATCCATGCCCAGCCTGTTTTGTGCATTCTCTGTGCATGGGGGTGTGGGTCCGGGTATAGTATAAGAGGGCATGTCATGCAGGGGGACCTGGACAAGCTTGAGAAGTGGGCCTGTGTGAACCACATGAGGTTCAACAAGGTCAAGAGCAAGGTCTTGCATCTGGGTAGGTGCAACTCTTGTTATCAATCTAGGCTGAGGGGTAATGTGGTACAGAGCAGCTCTTCAGAAAAGGACTTGGAGATACTGGTGGACAAAAAGCTGGACATGAGCCAACAGTGTGCACTTGCAGCACAGAAGCCAATCACATACTGGGTTGTAGTGAAAGAAGTATGGTCAGCAGATCGAGAGGGGTGATTCTGTCCCTCTGTTCTGCTCCGGTGTGACCTCACCTGGAGGACTAGGTCCAGCTCGAGAGTCGTCAGCACAGGAGGGACATGGATCTGTTAGAAAGAGTCCAGAGGAGGACCACAAAATTGATCAGAGGGATGAAGCACCTCTCCTGTGAGGGCAGGCTGAGAGAGACTGGGTTGTTCAGCCTAGTACCTGAAGGGAGCCTACAGGAAAGCTGGGGCAAGGCTGGTTACAAGGGCAGGTAGCAACAGGACGAGGTGAAATCGTTAAATTAATTTAAAGTAATTTAAACTTGAGCAGGATAGATTTAGATTAGACATTAGGAAGAAGTTCTTTGCTAGGAGGGTGGTGAAACACTGAAACAGGCTGCCCAGAGAGGTGGTAGGGGCCCCATACCTGGATACATGGCTTGATGGGACTCTGAGCAACCACATTTAGTTGGGTATGCCCCTGCTTTCTGCAGGGGTTTGGACTAGATGACCGTTTGAGGTCCCTTCCAACTCAAAGCATTCAATGATTCTATGATTCCATAATAGCTGGTGAAGGGAACAGGAGAAATGGGAAGGGCTAGGGACTCCATGCTGCCTTGCAAAGCTTCTGGATTCACATTTAAAGACATGCAATGTTTACTAGAAGCTACTCTTGTATGTCACCTGCCTCTGCAGTCCTTTGGGTATTACAGAAAACATTGGTCTGTGGTGTCTGGACAAGCCAATGCCTTCAGAGCTAACTCCCAGAACTAAAGGGCAAATTTCTTGTTTTGTGCACCTTACAACCTCAGGGTGGACTTCACTATGCATAAGCTTTCTCATACACTCAAATCTCACACCTGACCTTTGTCTTTCCAGAGACCATTTCCTCAATAAAGATGGTGGCATCTGGTCCCAAGGAGGGGAAGGTCTCTGGATCATTCCCACTCACTTGTACTGTAACAGGAGCCCCTCTGGATAGCCGTCTATATGACTGGAATTATGTCCGTCAGGCCCCAGGAGGGGCTCTGCAATTTCTAGGCTGGATCTATCCATTTGGGAATAACACAGGCTATGCCCCACCTTTCCAAGGCCGAGTCACCATCTCTGCAGATAAAGACAAAAACAAGGTCTCCCTGCAGCTGCATGCCCTTACAGCCTTAGACACAGCCACCTATTTCTGTGCCAGGCAGCACACAGTGACACCAATGCAGGAAGAACCAGTACAAAAAGGGGAGGACTACTGTTGCAAAAGGGCCCTTTCTGAAAATAAGTTTCCTGTACTTGCTCTGGGAAATATCAGTGAGGTTTGACACTAACAGGAGTTGTAACTCCCAGCCTATCCATGGGCAACTGAATTTGCAGTAAAATTTGGCTTTTATAATGGAAGTTAGAAATAAAATGTCATTTATGCATAAGTCCTGCATGCAGGTCAAACTCCAAACCCCTTACGCACCCCAAACTTTTCAGCTCCGTTCACAGGTCTCCTCATAAGTTACCATCACCACCTCTTCCTCACAGCTACTCTGGTGCTCCTTCGGTCTCAGGAGAATGGAGGGCAGAGGGATCACCTCAGGGAATCGCTCTGGGCAGGGATGCTGTGGAGCCAGTGTAGAGCTCACAGGAGGGCACACGGCTCCTTCTCTGTGCAGCTCAAACCTGCCCCAAGCTTCCTGTCCAGCCCTTTCCTGTAAAGAAGGTGGATGTACCCTTGGAGAGTAAGTACCCCCACAGCTGTAGGTACAAGGGGGTGGATGGACTACCACTCTGGCTGATCAGAATGAAAGCCCACTAAGTGAAAACATGTACACATGTATATGTATGTATGCATACACACTGTGGAGACCTCCAGTAGCTGCCCCTAGGCGCTCAGGTCTATCCAGGTCTGTCTCAGGTCACCAAGATCTATCCAGTAGTTGTCTATATCTCTGAGGCCCACAGTCTCACTTCAGTTGCTGGTTCTCAGACCTGTGCACCACCCACCCACAGAAACACTTGCTTTATGCCCCCCCTCCCAGTAACAGACCATAGACATCCAGTCTATGCAGTAGCTGGCCCTGCATCCCATAGTCTCCCAGTTGCCTCACATGCAAAAGGATCTCTCTGCTTGCTGGTCCAGACCTCTGGCCTGTACTCTGGTATTTGGTATGAACTTCCTGCCCACTCCTGCTAGCAGCCAAACCTCATATTCCTTTGTTTCTCAAATACCTGGTTCCAGACTTAACAGCTGCTTCAAATCCTGGCTCTCAAGCCCCTTATCCTATTCATTGGCCAGTTGGGATTGATATTCAGTAGTGGTTGTACACATTGACATAGATACACAATATGCACTTCCTCACCTCTCTGCAGTTGCTGGCACTCCAAACAGTGGTTCTTGTGACCATGGTTTTCCCTCCAATTGCTGGTACCACTGTGATCCAGACACTTATGATTCACAGTCTCTTTTGCAGATGCTGACACTGAGATCTCCATGCACACATGCACATAGAATAGAAAGCTCCCTCACCTAGGGATACAGTTAGAAATGTGTTTTAATAAGAAAGTAGGACAGACTGTGGAGAGCATATGCAGGGCATGGCTAGACAAAAATGAACTGATCAGCCCCCAGTGCGCACAACCAGTCCCTTTTATCCCTTCTTCCCTGCTTCCCCGCATTTCTCTCTCCCTGAATCACCTTGATCTCTCCTTTTTTCCATCTTTTTCTCTTCCCTTAGTACTTCTTTTGCATATTCTGACAGTCCTCTTGGAGAATTTTATAATAAGGTATATTCAATCCCTGAACACTCTTCCTGTTATCCGGTAATAAGTCACTACCTTATCATTGCCTTTTTGTTTGCAGGTCATCCTGTTAAGAGTTTCCCTGTTTCTTAACAAGAATAGAATAGAATAGAATAGAATAGAATAGAATAGAATAGAATAGAATAGAATAATAGGTTTCATTCAGTGGGAAGGGACTTGCAATGGACATCTTGTCCAACTGCCTAACTGCTTCAGGACTGATGAAAAGTTGAAGCACATTATTGAGAGGACTGTCCAAAAGTGCTCTTAAATGCTAACAGGCTTGGTGCATCAACCATCTCTCTAGGAAGACTGTTCCAGAGTTTGACAATCCTTTTGGTAAAGAAATGTTTCCTAATGTCAAATGGGAACCTCCCCTGGTGCAACTTTGAGCACATGTCCTATCACTGGATCACAGGGAGAGGAGATTGGCACCTCCCTCTCCACTTCCCCTCCTTACAAAGCTGTTGAGAGCAATCAGATTGTCACTGAGCCTCCTTTCTTGCCCTCCTCTGGATGCATTCAAGGACCTTCTCATCCTTTCTTAATTGTGGGTCTCAGAACTGCACACTATACTCAAGTTGAAGCCACACCAATGTTAAATACAGCAGGATACTCACCTCTTTTGACTGGCTGGTTGTATCATTTGATAGACCCTAAGATGCAGTTTGTGGCATACTGCTGACCCCCATTAAGTCTGCTGTCAACCAGTACCCCGAGATCCCTTTCTGCAGGGCTGCTTTCAAGTCACTCCTCTCCCAGTTTATACTTATGTCCAGTATTACTCTATCCCAGGTGTAGAATCCAGATGATCAACTAAATGTCCTCATTGTGTTGACTTAGAGAGTAGCAGATTCTCTGTGTTCTGTTTTACTGTTCAGATTACTATTAGGTTACTGGTTTCCTCTAGTCTTCTCATCTTTGCATGGTGTCTGTGTTTGCAGTGCCTGGACATTAAATGCATAACCTAACATCGGTCATGTAGAGAGATTTATTACTTGTGCTGTTGACACTGACCCTATCTGCTACTTTTCATGTTTTGGAATACAAGAGTTTGCAAGTGATTACTGGCATTTGGGAATATGTGTGTTGTGTAAGTATTTGCAGACCTTTCCTTTTCAAAGTAAGACTGGAGCTACGGTGTCCTTGGCTTGAATAATGTCCTATCTGCTCCAGGGTCTGGAGGCTCTGAAGAGGTATCTGGACAGGCTAGATCAATGGGCTGAGTTCAACTGTATGAGGTTTAACAAAGCCAAGTGCTGGGTCCTGCACTTGAGTCACAACAACCCCAGGCAACACTACAGGCTGTGGGAAGAGTGGCTGGAAAGCTGCCTGGCACGAAAGGACCTGGGGGTGCTGGTGGACAGCCAGCTGAACATGAGCCAACAGTGTACCCAGGTGTCCAAGAAGGCCAAAAGCATCCTGGCCTATATCTAAACCAGTGTGTCCAGTAGGAGTACAGAAGAGATCACACCCCTGTACTCAACACTGGGGAGGTCACAGCTTGAGTAGTGGGTTCCGTTTTGGGCACCACAGTGGAAGAAAGGCCTTGAGGGGCTGGAGTGGGTCCAGAGAAGGACAATGAAGCTGGAGAGGGGTCTGGGGAAAATGTCTTCTGAGGAGTGGCTGAGGGACCTGGGGTTGTTCTGGAGAAGAGGAGGCTGAGGAGAGCTCTACAGCTCCCTGAAAGGGGAACCCTGAAAGGGTTGGAGTGAGGTGGGGGTTGGTCTTCTCCCAAGGAACTAGTGATAGGATGAGAGGAAATGGGATGAAGTTGTGCCAGGGGAGGCTTCAGCTGGATAGCAGAAGACTTTTTTTCCTGACAGAGTGACTTTTTTTCCTGAAAGCATTGGAGCCGGCTGCCCAGGGAGGTGACAGAAGCCCCATCCCTGGAGACATTCAAGGTCAAGCTTGATGAGGCTCTGAGTAGCTTGATCTAGTTGGCGATGTTCCTGCTTATAGCAGGGGGGTTGGACTAGATGACCTTTGGAGGTCCCTTCCAACCCAAACATTCCATGATTCTATGATACGATTCTATGATTACACTGTAATTAAAGTTGAGTGTAACCTGTCACAACCTAAACTGTGACAGCACCCCCATCTGTATTTGCAGAAGAGCAATCTGTTACACACCGTAATTAGAACATTAAAACCCCATGCTGAGCAGTGCTCAGCGGGACTGAGTTAAGTCCTAAAAGACCTTTTTCACTCATTCTGCATTACCTTTAATTCATTTGCAACTCTAACTTTTGGCATTAAAACTTAGAGCAAAAACAAGAACAGCAACATGGGCTTCCATAAGATCAGAAAAGTACAGATTTAGATTGCTAACTTGCATGATCAAAAGGTCATCTCCACACATGATGGAACTCAGAGGTATAATGGCAGGTAGGGGAGCCCAAATAATACCCTGACCTAGCTTCTCCCAGGACAGTACAATTGATCAGCTCACGAAGGGCTTATCTCCATAAACATGAAGGAACAGAAGAGGTGCAATGGCAGGTAAGTGAGCTCCAATAACATATTCAGAAAAAGAGAGACCCTACTTCATCTCCTCCCAATGCTGTCCCAAGAGAGTGTCCTGGTGCCATGTAAAAAGGGTTTCAGGGCAGGA